TGTACAGAATGACCTTTTTTAGTCAAATAAAAGCACTCCGGAGTGCTTCGCTGCAACGGGCACTGGTGAGCCTTCCTCCAGACAAACGCATTCGTAGTGAAGATGTCTGGGCCAGTCCCAGAGTTAATGGAGCAGAGATGACAGGGATGGCTGGGAATAACATGTGGAGGAATTGTTCATCCCAGCTCGTCTTCAAACAGTGCCCATGAGGGGTCTCTGCCGTGCACGCGGCGATGAACCACTCTGCTCCCAGCACCAGCAGCAAGTTCTGCCTCTGAATTACTGCCTTCAACCAGTGTTTAAGGTGGCATTTGTCTCCTCAGATGAGAGGAGCAGCTGAACGTGGCCCGTGATGCAATATTCCCCTTAACCCAGCAGCATCTGGGGGAAGAAGTGGAGGAGGACGCAGCTCCAGCGGCGGAATCTGTGCGACTTAACATTTCTCAGCTATAAACCTTTCAATAGCTGGAAGTAAATCCTTCAGCTCTCTACCAGAGCTCTGCCTCTGCAGCTGCAAATTTATTCGGCAGGCAGAGAATCAGGCCAAAAGAAGTAAATATGAGTGATGTGACTGATAGTGCTAGAACATTACGCAAGCTCCCACACGGCTGCTGCGGAGGGCAATTCCCTGGCTGCGGAATCCCTGCTCGAGCTCTCCAACCAGAGATTGGAGCCATCCTTCCCGGGATGCTGGGCAAGGGAGGTGGATGACAAGATGTTTTTGGGGGGGGGTGGGGGGGGTTGTGCAGAGCTCAGCTCCGGCGCAGCAGTTTTGGGGTACAAGGCTGCTCGTGTGTGCTGGAGAGCTGCGAGCAGGGATGCTGCCTTTCTCTGGTTTGTTTATCATGCCACACACCCCTTTGTCTCACGTACAGCAATACTATAAGGCTGTTTGTGCCTTGGGCTGGAGGTTAGGGTTAGGGTTAGGTACTGACAACATTGCAGAGGTCCTAATAATTGTGAGACGGTCAGAGCAAAGATGCTTAAAAGCGTAAAGGCCTCACCACGTAGCAGCTGAGCCTTTTGCCGCACGTATTATGCCGCAACTGTCCCCGGTTAATTCACAGTGCATTGAACCACCACTCTGGGACACGTCTCGTGGTTTTGCCGTGCTCGGGCAGCTCTGCCACAGCTCCCGGAGCCGCGGAGGGAAGCAGACAATGGGGATGCGGGTTTGCCCGGAGGGATTTGGCAGCAGCCGCAGGTGCAGAGGGTGGGGAGCAATCCCAGGTCACACATGCCAAGGTGGAAAATCACAGGGGTTGCCCGGGTTAGGAGGCAGAGTGAGCAAGAGAGCGCCTCATCTGTCCCCTCCGGGCTCTCTTTGCTCAGCAGCCGTTGCTTCCCCAGCACGCCAAGTGGCATCCCGGGCTGCACGTTAAGGGGCTACACATTAGGAGGAGAACCCCCCTGTGAACCCGTTCCAAAGGCTGGGGGAAGGCATGTACTTGTCTTTCCATGCAAAAACCGGTGAGCTGCTCTTTGTGAAGCCGCTCCCCAGGGCATCTGCTGGGGGGGGGGGGGGGGGGGAGGTGAGGGCCTTCAGCAGCATTTGGGGCTGCTGGCTCGCTCTGCTCGCAGGAGGCTCTGCCCAGAAACTGTGAGCTGCAGCAAGGCTGGCTTGAAGGAACTGTCAGAAGCTGCTGCCACTTTTAGTACTCAACACCTCCCAGAGCAAATTCCCCCTGCCGGCCTCCTGCTTCACCTCGCTGCTCCACCCCACGTTGGAGACTGGTTTCCATTAACACTGGAAAGCTAGTAAGTCGCCTGAAATTGGAGTGACCTGGATCATGCTGAGGGACAGAGAGCGAGAGAGAGAAAGAGAGAGTGTGTGTGTGTGTGTGTCTGTCCGTGTGTCTCTGTGTGTTTGTGTCTGTGTGTGTCTGTGTGTGTGTAGAGACTATTTCTTCTTTTAACCCTTAAGATTCCCTGCTCACAAACGTTACCATATAAAGCCAGAAGAGGCTCTTTCTCTTTAGTAGTCCTTATTTTTTTATATTAAACTGATGGGGTATCCTTTCATCACAGCCTTCGTCTCGAGAGGAAAAGGATAGACACCTATCCAACAGAGCAGTATAGGAGAGAAGGGATTGGGTGACTCATTGCAGCATTTCAGGAAAGCAATATTATTTTTATATTTCAAACTTCCATGATGTAAGCTGGGGTGGAGTGACGGTCGTTTTCTTGCTTTGTAAAACTCCAGCTTTTGGCGTCATGTGACTCTCAAATTTCACTTAAACCCAAGCTGCTTCTAATGTTGTTGTTACACAGATACCAGAAACTGTGATCTGAAATATCCTCTGAAGTTTTAAAAACTAAAAACCAAACATGAAGGATCCCCGTTTTCAAATAAACCTTTATTATTTTCATTCATTTAGCCGATGTCTTTCTTCTGGAAAAACAATTTCTTGAAAGACTGTGCTGGTAATATTGAAGGTGCTGGACTGGTCCTGGACCCAAAGAAATACAAGAGCTTTCACAGGGATTGGCTGTTCCCTCCCAGAGCTGTGTCAGCTCCAGTTTGGGCTCCAGAAAGTGAAATACAGCTGTGCAGTATCACTTTATTGTATTAATCCATGTGTTCACACCTTATAGCTGCCCAGGTAAAAACCAAACTCATCTAATTGATTGATTGATAGCCCAGTGATGTGTGCACTGAGCTGGGTGAGGTGGACGCCAACATTTCTACTGGTCTTTGTTGTTGTTGTTGCTATTAACACCTAGATCCCGTCACCGAGTAAAAGCCCTCAGTGCTACCACAGATGTGAAATAAAATTGTAAGGACCGGCCAAAAGAATCTACAAGCTGACTAATATTTTTCTTCCCCCTTACAAACTGATGTTGCTTTAATACTTTTGGAATCGTGCAGCATTTCGGCCATGTGAGATTTTTATATCCTTTTATGTACAGGGACCTTCTGAACTTGGGCGGGGAGGAAGAGGGGTGTCTGGTTTTGTTTTGGCTTTGCTTTGATTCTGTAATTTGAAGTAATTTTTACCACTATATTGTAAAGGTGTTCCATCAACTTGCAAGCACACTGACAACACACAGAGTCTAGATTTCTCATTTGAAAAGGGCACTGAATTTGGCTGGGGTCTTTTCTGCTAATTTTCAATGCAGCAAAACTAACTCTGGCCTCACAAATAGGTCCAGCATGCAAGCACCTTCTCCAGAAAAAGAATGGGGAAGTGGAATCTATTCTGAATGCTGGGGCACTGAGATAATGCTGGGCTTCAAAACAAGCCTGCATGGGTCTGCCTTTTTCTGGAAGAGCAGCATGGAGCATCTAGAGCTGGACTTGAGTGAGTTACAGCGTCTGTGCGCTCCTCGTCACCCCAGGAAGCAAAGCCCCCCGAAAGGGGACAGGCCCATAACTGGTGGCGTGTTGGGGGTCCCTTGGCAAAGCCTGTCCCTCTCCTAGCAAACCCCCCAGCTGATTACAGCTGCAGCACAAGAACTTGTTTTTTGCAGTAGGACGCCAGGCGATGCCACAGACGTTACTCACGGCTGCATCCTGGAGCCCAGACGAGAACATTCATTTCACACCGCAAACTTATTTTTTTCCCCCTCCGACGCTTTCTTTTATCGAGTTTCAATATAATAAACAAAGGGGACGATATTATTTCACTGGCAAGGACTCCAACTAATGCACAAACAGTTCTCAATACTGGCACACAGAGGGACTTTTTCACCATGTACTGGCCAGTCAGACCCATATCAGTCCTAATGGCACAGGGAAATGGAAATTCAGATCTTTCACCTTGAAGAATAGCTGCAATTCATACACTGCTTGTATTCCCCCTTTCCTTTTTTTTTTTTGTTTTATTGCTAGCACAGCAAAACGAATCATCACAGCGGTATCAAAGGAAACTTTTCAAAGTTGTTGACATACAGCAAAGGGACAGTTTTATATAACTCAGCATTTAATCATCTCAGACCATGCTTTGTGTGCACGCTTTGGTTCTCATACTGATTTAGGGCGAGTTGCTTCATTCCTCCGGGCTTCTGCTGCCCTTTTAGATGGTCCATTTGGACATAAATTCTTCCGTCTGAAAGTAAGTCATGAATTTAGGCCTTATTCTTGGCTTGTGCCGAAACCATTCCCCATAGACTACATCTAAAGTGGTACCTAATTAATTAGAACAAAAGGTCAGAAGCAGCTGCGTCCGGCTCCATCACTCTTTTTGTCCTATTGGCTTTTGCTAGAGTTGCCCTTAACCATGCTGGCCCTGGGCTCCAACAGACCTTTGGCTAGTTACGAATGCGAGACATGTTTCATGTAGTTGATAAGCTTATTCTATAACTCTAGCTACTGTTAATCTAACAATAGAGAATAAGCAGTGGTTAAAGCAAGCAAACACTTTATTTTTTTTTTTTTTTCAGAGTTAGCTTTTGAGCATGCCTTTCTGGAGCTGAAAAGATACTGAAGCTGTTAAAGAGAGACTCTGTACAAGCGTTTTACGAAAGCCAAGGTTTTGCAGGCAACCTCGTAGTATGAGATGCAGAAATATCTGCCAACTTCCTTGGCAATGACAACGTGGAAGCCCCATCCCACCAGTACACCCACAGAGTATCACTGGGAGCTCACACTCCTGGAGGGAAGTGCATGAAGTGCAGTCACTAATAACCAAGACAACGCAGAGAAGAAAGCAAACCCAGCACAATGCATCTGGGCTACTCCAGCAGGCAAATCTCTCTACCCAGAACAAGCCAAGATTCATTTCTGGCCAAAGCTCCTGCACTAACACTCTCCACTCTTTGATTAAGTGTTTCTTCCCGAGCTCATGATGCAAGTCATTGTCAGAAAACGGGCTTATGCAAGGCCACAGCAGTCCCCGCTGAACGCTTGAGCCACTCAGTGATCCAACCCACCACACAACCCACCAGGCCTGTTACCTGCCGTCAGCTCCCCCATTGGAAAAACATGCAATTTTCCAAAGGTAAGGGAGTCTTGGGTTACTAGGAACACAAATCATTACGAGTAAAACTGCATTCCCAATTTATTGTATTTGTTTTATTTATAATTTTATTACATATTCCACATTTTCCATGTGTTTCACATCATGCTTGTCCATTCAGGCCTTTACATGGAAACTTGGGCTCTTCTCCACTGCCTAATGTGTTGAAGGCTTTATAAACAGCCTTGTTTCATTGTTTGCTCTGCGTGTTTCCCTCCCAAGAGCATGCAACTAACGTTGTGCCTGGTACAAGTCTGAATGGTCTCTCACTGGGGAGCGGGATGGGGCAAGAAGGGAAGAAAAGCAACTATTAATGTGACAAGCTGGTGAAAATAAAGGCCATCAAATAGTTCAGCTGGAGTTCTAACAATGAACAGTTTGAGGCTCCTCTGATTTGGGTTGGGTTTTTTGCATGCTAGAGTTTTAAATTGTCAAAGACGGAGATTTTTTTTTCCATGCACCACAGTCCAGGCTGAAGACTGATCAACGTGTTACATGTGCACACACAGATTTCCCACCAAACTAAAAATCACCATTTACTGAGTGACAGGGAAACTCCCCCCAATGCTGGTAGGTTCCTTCCCCCCGCTGCACTTCTAGAAGGTAATATCATGCATCTGTGTGCACAGTTAATTCACTATTTTCTCCTCTCCTGGATGCATAGGCAAATATTTTCTTTCATGCTCAGTTCTGACCGCAATCTGTGAGCGAATCAGGAGTGTTCAGCTATCCTGCTTTTAGCTGCGCTTTCAAGGTTTTGTGTCAACAGGAACATTAGGTCAAGTTGCAAACAGCCTTGGAAAATCTGGTGCAGCATCTCTAACGTCACTGACAGGGCCTGCTTAAATTTGGCATTGCCGGGCTAACAGTTGTCATTCAGCTCTTGAGCACATTTACACCATTTAATCTATTTTTCCATCAGTCTTGCACCCTTTGTGACACCCTTATCAATTCAGGAGCGCATTCATTCTGATTCAGTGCAATCCCATGAGCACCGAGTCACACGTGAACCTGAATAATCTCTCAGATAGCAAAAGGATGCTCAGTTCCAGAAAAAAAAAAAAAAAAAAAAAAAACAAAACAAACAAGTTTCTTCTAGATTCTATAGTTAAGGTAAATTTTTCATATCAGGAACTCAAAACCCAATGTAGTATTTGACGGCAGAGGAGAGGCAAGGAGATTGGATTAAAACATCTGGCGAGGTAATTAGATTCACTAAAAAGTTTGCACTCCAAACTGCCCCTACATAATTGATGGGACTATTGTGATGTGTCACTTCCACTTACTGGCGTTCAGCAGCCGCTCTCGCCTCGCTGCGCCCTGCGCTAACCTTCGTGGCTGACCTGCTGCGGTCCCCCTATTAAAGCTGCAATTATGGGGTGACTCTTAATAGCGAGGTCTTGCTTCGGAGTGGGGAAAAAATGTTTCTGTAGCTCACATGCGACAATTAAAGATAATTTAAAATGTAAGTAATTGCACTAGGTTTCTGGAAACTACTGTAGAGGTCTTGTCCCAGGCATCTGACAGGCATGGTGGTGTATTTTGACAAGTTTTGCACAGATTTCCATTAAATACCAACTAGCAGCTCTATTTTCTTTGGAGTCATTGGTCAGGAAATGGAGATTGTGAAAGGTCAGGCCTGGAAGATTTGGGAGGGGATGGAGGTGTTATTCATGTTCTGATCCATGGGGATCTAGTTCCAATGTAAATCCTCCAGTCACTTCATTCTTGATTTCTGCGTAGTCGTTGAGCAGGAGGAACGTAAGGGCTGATCCACAGAGAAGAAGTTCTGTTGAGTTGTTCTCACCCCTGCAGAGATGCCAGGCAAGGTGGGACTCACAAAATGTCCATCTGCTCTCTGGAAACCTATAGAAACCTGGTGAGTCTGGGTTGAGAGACCTGGCAAGCACCAAAATGTGTGGCTGGATCTCCATCCCACCACAAGCATTGCACCAAACCTCTTCATTTGCAAAACTAGACTTGAAACTGCAACTACTCCAAGGCTTCTGCAAGGTCAGCGAAGCGTGAACATCATGCCGAACACACCCAGATACTTTCAGAGGTTCAGCAGTCCCTGAAAAAGTTTTGTATCATGACACCAGACGACTGTCAGATGAGTTTGGATCCTGCCACACGGTCCTAGCGATAAAGCGGCCATCTGTGTTGCATCGTGCTGCGCACGACCTTTCCTCCCTCAATTTTGCCTCCACCATACTTCTTCCAAGTCCTCTCTGATTTGACCTACATTTAAGTAACCCCAAAAATGCCGGCAGTGCACATAGCAGAGCTAAATATGCACTCGGCTCCCAACATGCTAAGGAACAGTCAGTCTATCTACATCAGAGTGAAAATAAACATGTGAAAATACAATTGAAAAGGACCCGTCAGGAATGTAATCACCTTCTGCCACATTTGACTGATTTAGGCTCTTATCTCAGTTAGTGGGACTTTTGCTCCTAAATCATTTGGGGTAGGGTTTTAAAAGATGTTTGGTATCACAAGATACAGAGGGAAAACTTGTACAACATTTGCAAATTGTGCTTTTATTTCCTTTTCTCTAGATGTATTTCTAAATTATGTTCAAAAGCTAGGGCTTATACCTCTGTATTATAGATGTAATCAGCTTGTGCTGCTGCATAATAAAACTAAATATATTTACAAGCAGTTGCAGTATTGGGATGAAAGCTTTACTCTTTGTATAACTTTATATAGGACAAAATACATATAGGAAATAAAAGCTAGGTTAGACTTGCCTCATTACTGCTTTCAAGTGGCTGTCTTTCTGCCTGTAATATTTCAGATGCATTGGTAACACCATGACAGCTCACCACAAAAAAAAAAAAAACATCATTGTGGGACTTCATAAAAAACAGAAAATAAAATTAAATATAAAAAAGAAAGAAATTAAACATGTTGCTGAGGCAAACACAGTGAAATGCAAACTTAAACTGCATGACCACAAAAGAAATTGCATCAGACTTTAAAATCAATTTTCCTCCTTTCTTAAATGAAGTGATCCCAAATAAGAATACGCCTGAGTTCCATGGTTTTTATGTTTATTCCAGTGTGGCGATTTTGATGAGGGGCTCAAAGAGAAATTACCCTTGAAATGTAAAGAGAACTGCAGTTCTCTTTTTATCATGACTCAAGTATCACTTATGCGATGGCCGGATCCTTATGGATGAGCCAGAATGACAGGAACTGGTTTTGGGGTCGCTTTTTGTAACCCAGAATCACTTCCTTTTTTTATATTTTTTTTTTTTTAATTTTTTTTTTTTTTTTACATTAAAAAGTCATCGATGTGCTCAGACACAACACGACACATGTTACGGTGACCCAGACAGGGTCCATGCCCTCCGGAGAGCCGCGGCTGAGTGCGCCTGACAAATGCCACCGCGTGGCACCGAGCGGAGACAGGCGCTGCAAAAAGCATTCCTGGGCGATTTCCTGGTGCCTCTCCAAGCTGACAGAGGAGGTTTATATTAACATCACATGGCTGTCTTCAGCTGTATTTGTTAGCACAGCCCCTTTGGAGATCTTGCCATGTTGGGCTGCATGGGGAACAGGAGGGAAAGGGGAAGGGAAAAAATAAAAAAAAAAAAATAAAAAAAAAAAAACATAAAGCAAGCAAAACATGTCTTGGTTTTTAACACCAGCATCTTCAGTGGTAACGCTATCAAACCCAGGCTCTTCTGCCCTTGTCCATGCAAAACCTCTGTAGAACACTTGGAGGGCAGGTTTTTAGAATGTTTTTGAACACATAACACGTAGGAAAATAACACGCTATAGAAACCTGGCAATAAGTTCGTCTCAAGTAGCCAAGTTGGGCATGGAAAAAAAAATTAGACAATAAAAGGTCATTTCTAGCCAAGTTTTAAGTGAGTATACAATACATATGGGTTGGTTTTTTTTTTTTCCCTTGCTCTTTGCCTTAGTCATTGGCCAACTTGGCTAGGAGATTATGGAAAACACTGAAGTGGAATTATTATAATTAGGGATTTTTTCTCTTTTTGACCAAGTAAAAGTTCTTATAAGCAATAATTTAATTATGGCAAAAGACTAACACAGACATGTTTTTTAAGGATGCTTCATCAAAAAAAAAAACCCACTCTTTTCTACACCATACTTTAAAGTAAGGCTAGTTCATGAGCGCCAGTGATCTAATACTACTGCTATTTATGATTTTTTACATTATTTATTATAAAGTATGTCATAAAGTGGAAAATTACCGGTGCCGATCACATTTCCAAGCAGGCTAATTTAGAACCGAGCGCCGTAAGTCAATTAGGATAATAAACCTGCTGGAGTGAGGAGGGGGACTTTCTTGGAATTAACATTTTCATCCTGCTTCTGGCGCGTGGGGATCAAACGGGAGACGTTTAACAAGTGGCTTCTGAAGCCACCCTTCCGGCTCGCCGTTTGTGTGGCAGCTCTCCTCTGAGATGGCTTCAGTCTGTTGCAACACGTTCCCGCAGCCTCCTTCCTTGCCCCCAGGTATTTCAGGTGGATGGTTGATTAAGAGCAAGCTCCTTGCTGACGTAGGTTGCGTATTTAACATCCTGCTCCGTTTCATACCTACATGCGCCTTGGGTTTTATTTTCTTGTTTTGGAAGGGCAAAGTTGAAAAAAAAAAAAATAAATCAATTAGAAGGAAATAGAGGATGGGGTTTTTTTGTTTTTGTTTTGGTTTTTTTTTTACCCCTCCGAGAGCTTAACTGGAGGCATCTTCCTCACCTTTTGAAGGTTGTGGACTTTTTGTCTGGAGCATCAGAGATCTTCTGAGATGTTTGACCTTGAAACACAGGTACTTCCAGCTCGCATCAGCCCAGGAACCCGTGTGGCCTGGACCAGGTACCTCAGAGAAAGTTGCATAAACAGCTCTTAGACAGCAGCCTCTGTGCGCTGAAACGTCCTAGTGATGCTGGGCTGTTCGGATGCAAGGACTCTGACTCTGGGTGCAAGATGACACAAGATCAGTTTTGAAAAGCTGACCTCCTAACATGAGAGAGAAAAGGAGTCCAGGCATGACAACAAAAGGGAAAAAAAAACAGATTTGAAGATGAAAAGCAAAAAGAAACAGGGACCAGAAGACTAAGATCAACAGGAAGTTTATAAGCTGCAGGTTTGGGCTGTGCTTAAATAAGAACAGCAGTCTCCTCTCTGGCACTTGTCAATTAAAGAAGGCAATTCCTTTTCAAATAGAGCTGATCTTACATTTTCTCATATTGTCTTGGAACTGTCCTTCCAAGTCGGATGAGGGTTTTTTTTTTGTTTTTAAATAAATGAAGGTTTTGCCAGATACATTTACCTCTATACAATTTTTTTCTTGTCTTTTCAGAAAATAATGTAAAGTTAAAAAATTATATATATATTCCACTTCTATTTATGCAACTGGAAAATGGGAGGAAGCTGCAGCAATGGAAAAAGCAAAATATCTTCAGTTTGGAGAGACTGATTTTTTTAACAGAAAATATTCATGGCCAAACTGTGCAAAGAGAGGGGTATTTTCCCCCTAGTAATATTTCATAGCAGAGCACTACAAGTTGCCCCCCAAGCCCATGTTGGTTGCAACACATAAGCAGCGAGCAAATGGGAATGGGTTGTGATCGGGGAGCATCGCCCAGCTGGCCGGCACGACTGTTATGTGCAAACCCCCAGGCAGACGTCTCCAGCCCATGAATTTGGCAGCGATGGAACAGCCAGCCCCCTGGGCAGAACTTCATTGCAAGCTGTTTACTTGTGCTACTGGGGGGGTGGGGGGTGGTTCACAGCCCAACAAGCCTTGTCAAGCTCAACATGTGTAAGGCGGGTGGGGCGATCTCTAATTATACCCCTTGGGTAGGACTTACATGACCCAACATATCTAGCACATAAGAAGGCCATTCCACACCATTTAGATGGCAATTGGTAGCTGGCATGATTGGCTCTGCGCTGCAGGAGGAGGGAGTTGGGTGGAAAGTAAACACAGTGAGTAACTCTGGAGTCATGCTGGATGGGGCATGTAATAACTTCATTGGTGACAAACGCAGCGGAGGGACTGGCTGATGTGACCAGCTGCCTCAAGGAATTGTCTCTGGTGACGTACTGCTGATGCTTCACATTCATGAGTTCATATGGAGAAATGTCTGCAGGTGAGACTGTCATCCGCAGCAGTTCAAGAGCACTGGACGGAGCTCCTTGGAGTCAGTGGGAAGGGTATGGGATTGCGTTACACTGCTCCTCACTGCCTGCTCTATCCCCATCTCATCAGGCTGCACATTTTTTGCCAAGGAGACTCTCCTTTGAATTAAGTTTTCTGATGATACGGGGCTGAGTGGGAAAGAAGACGCTCCAGAAGGGAGAACCATCCTGCAGGAAGACCTGGACAGGCTGGAAGAGGGGGCTAACAAGAACCTGGTGAAGTTCAACAAGGATGAGTGTAAGGTCTTGTGGCTGGGAAAGCATAATCCAGGAGTGCAGCACAGGCTGGGATCTACCTGGCTGGGGAGCAGCTCTGGGGAAAGGGACCCGGGGGTCCTGGTGGACACCAAACTCAACGTGAGTGAACAGAGGGCTGCAGCTGCAAAAAAGCCAACGGGCTGCTGGGCTGCATCAACCAGGGCATCACCAGCAGAGAGGAGGAGGTCATTACCTCACTCAGTGCTTGTCAAGCCACATCTGAAATACTGTGCTCAGTTTTGGTCCCCACTATGCAAAAAAAAAAAAAGATTGTCCAGGCTGGAAAGTGTCCAGAGAAGAGCCACAAAGTTAATCAAGGGACTGGGAAGCGATCTGAGGAAAGGCTGAGAGAACTGGGTTTGTTCAGCCTAGAGAAGACAAAGATTTGGGAAGACCTTATCACATTGTTCCGGTATTTAAAGGACTCACCTGTTAGTCATGCTCCAGCAGAGCTACTGAGAACCTAAACCACCCAACAGATGTGTGCACATCACTGTACTTCTCTCATCGCTGGGGAATCTGCCCAGTGCTATTGTAGAAAACTGGGGACAGGACAAGGCAGCCTGCCCCCTTCTCCTCAGTGACAGGACTGTGTGTTCCTGCACTGATGTTTGCAAAAGTGCTATAAAATGAAAATTAAAAGAAAAAAAAAAAAAAAATCCATGCAGAAATTATGAAGAGAGGAATATGCCTTTTGCTTGTCAAATCCAGAACTCATCCCACTGCTATATCATCAGTTCTATTCTTGGTCTCTGCCATTGCCTTGTATCTTTTCCTCAGCCTAGCCCGGACACCACTCACTCACCATCCTTTGGGTTGAAGGAACACAAAGTCTCACCCAAGTGCGAGGCCCTCAGAGCATCAGCAGGACATTCCAGCTGGCCAAAGAATCTAGAGCCTTCTAGTTTTTATGAGTTATTGTCATCATCTCAGTCAACTTCAGAAGGAAATTGTTTTAGGGCACTGTCATTACTGTTTGAAAGTATTTGTTGATAAGGCAATGACTGTGTCATTTTTATAAACCTCAGCTTGGGTTAGATTTGAATGCAAGATCACCAGCACGTAAACTTTGGCCAGCTGAGCTGAAAAATGAAGGTCTCAGCATTACCAGGAATTGGCAGTGGCTTAAAATTTATGACACATTACAATTGAAAAATGATGGGCCTAGCTTAGTCAAGGACAAAATATAATTAAATGTCTACATACCAGTGTAATTACAAAGAGGTAGGTGATTCAATACCATTACTGATCTGGACCTAAACCTGTTAGCAGGAGACAATAGATTGCAAATAGATACACACACTTTTGCCAATGAGTTACACAATCTTACACTCCTACAGCTACCAAGAACCTGCGCATTTCCAGGTCTGGCTGGTGCTCACATGGTCTGATGGCATCACCAGGAAGGTGCTCATTTACTCCAGACAGTGAAAGTAGCATAGGCTGGAATTTTCCCATGCAAGAATGAGCCTGACTTATGCAGCACCCTAAAGCCCTCCTCCGCATATGTCGTTACAAGATATGTCACTAAATAATTGGAAATGAATTTGTAAGCAGACATCACAGCTTTCACTAAAAATCAGGTGTTCATTAGCAAGGATGCTAACCACTGGGTCATTTGCTCCCAGCTTTTCCTCCTTGAGAGCTCACAAGATGCAGTCTCCACCTTCTTCACCCCAGAGGTGAGCTTGGATTCAGTGTGAGGATTCAGGATAAAGTGAGAAGGTAAGTTCCCTTTTCCTTCTCCTCAGTGAAGCCCACCACCGGTGATTTACAGTCATCACCCTTCACATCAAGAATTAGATGGCAACATGACCTTTTGCAACAGCTTTTGTGCTGGACACTGATATCATCTGGTATGAAAATGAAAAGTCGATGATGCTGGGAGATCAGTACAGGGTCAGCTTTGTACAGGGGTAACTATTTGCGAGTATTTGACAATGCCAGCTTCCAGCATCCCAGTCATTAGGCAGATGGTGGGAAGGTCTGGATGGAGAAAAGAGGCAAAGGGATAGACAGAAAGAGATGTCATTATTGTAATGAAAGTTAACTCTTCTGTCCTTTTCCAGTTGGAGGCTGTCTCATGCTGGTGAAAGGTAGGGATGGTGGCTTTTTCAGGATCAAGCTATCAACCTCATAGAACCAGAGCACTTAAAAAGCAATGAGAAAATCCCTCCGAGGAAGGTGTCCAGCTGCAGAGAGCTCCCCAGTGCAGAGATGAGATGAACAGCACAGGGCTCCTCTCTCAGGGTGTTTCTCATTCCTTGACTTGCAGGCAGCCCCACCGCTCCAGGCTATTGACTCACCGTGACAGCTCAGGATGTGTAACCTCATCATCCTCTTAGCAGAAAGCTATTTCTGTCTCCAAAATAACCACTGGAGAAGCTCTGGGGAGGCAGAATGAAAAATTGCTGCATGACTTCCCTAAAGGAAGTGAACACAAGGAGGTGATCGTCAGCCCTCTCTTACCATCTGATGGGGCTTAAACCCAATCATCTTGTCCAAAATCTATGGGCAAATAACACTGCTCTAACCACAGGATAACACGCTCAGAAAAACTGGCTGGGATTCTTGTGTAGCTGAAAGCAACTTGAGACCTGGCCAGCCCAAGCAGAGTATTTTGTTGTTGTCTTTTAAAAATTATATTCATTAAGACCAGGAGTCGGGCAAAGTTCCTCTCTTTTAGTCAGGCCAATGTGCTCTTCTGCAATTGCTAATATTGAAAGAAGATGGAGGGAGAAAAAAACCTCAGAAAATGTAACTTATTTGGCACTGCTGATTAAAACCAGTTTGTGTTTCATTGTGGAAGGCTGTATTTGCTCAAGGTTTATTCAGTTCTGGTCTCTTCCATCCACATAAGGTTTGTTTTAATGACCGTGGAGTTATATGAATCTATTAATTTTTTTTCCTGAAGGTTTCATAATAACAATGCCTGTTTTTTTCATACAGCACTTTATAGCCACGCGTCTGGAAATGCATTGCAAATGGGCAATTAGTGTCAGCCCTATTTTGAAGATAGAGAAACTCAAGCAGAATCCAAGCAAGACAATTCCTAAATAGCAGTGCCAAAAACCAGGCATTTAGCTTGATCTCGAAAAAAACGGAACTAGAGCCTGAAAAAAACTCCCAAAGTCAGCGCAGCAAGGACAAATGCAAAGCGTTTCACTCAGCAAGGAATAACGGGGTGCGCACACACAGAAAGGGGGATGACTGACACAGGGAACGGCCGTCGATCACTGGGCGAGCCTGGCATGGCGCCTGTCGTAGTCAAACAGGAGTCACCAGTCAACTGCCCTCACAAGAAAGGCAACCACTGGACCACGAGATATAAATCAACAGGATTATGGTGTGCAGAGTCCTTAAGAGATGCACTCTCCTGCCACCCACCCTGTGATGCTGACTCCAGCTCATGGCGCCTATCATCTTGTAGGAGTGCAGTGGCCCAGGAGAGACAGAAGCAAGATTGGCTTGACCCACACAGGTGCTTTAATCTAAAGAAAAGAAGGAGGAAGAGGTTTGTTTCAGTAATGACAGACTTGATAGAGGCAACTGAAACCACTTACATCCCAAATCCTGTGCTGGGGGAACCCACTCCAGTGAAGGGCTGATGGTCACACATTTAGAGGTTCCTATTTTTTGACGATATCTCGTTTGTTTGCTTTTTTTTTTTTTTTCCCTCTCCAAGTGTTTTAATGGGAAAATCTGGAAAGGTTAAAGCTCAGAGTAGAAAAACATCAAGATAATATTATTTGAGGCAAATCTCTAACCTTTTACTTGGGCTATGTGGGAGGCAAGAGAAAATGTTATATGCAGGGGAATATTAAATTATTAATATTATGTCTAGGTTGAGATTAATCAGATTCCAGAGACGTATAATAACCACCTGCTGCCTCCTCAGATATGGATGTGTGGAGGCGTGCATTTAATGAGCAGACTCACACGAGGAGGACCACAGCCTGCAGAGAAACAGGTCCTGGGGCAGGACACTCTGCCTTGCACCACAGGTCTGAATCCAGCCCACCAAGGAAGAGCGGAGGTTGCACAACAGCTCCCCAAGCAGCGAGCCGAACAAGCACGTGCAGTCCCACCAGCAGTCACAGGGAGTGGGAAAGGGCTGAGCTGGGCTTCCCTCCCACCCTCCTGTGAGGATGGTGCAACTGCAAGCTTGTCTTCCCTTCTTTTCTCCTCCAGGAGAGACCTGCTACCAAATCTGGGTACCACCAGAGATGCTGACACCAAACTTGCCCTCTTCCCTGATGCACTTGGCTGGATGGGCTTCTGCGAACGAGAGGCTGTGGTTGTGCCCAGCCACAGCTGCCTATTTGCTGCCAGAAACATTGTGGAAATACATTCAGCCCTTGTCAGAGCTGCTAGATGAAACTCCACAGCCTCTGCAAAAGCTCAGATCGTTCTTACCCCAAGGCACTGCGGGGACTCCCGGTCTCTCCGTCGGGTCCGGGCCAGGCTGGGCTGCAGCATCCCGGGATGCCTGGCCCTGGGTGCTGCTCCTGAGCCACTGCTCATGGATGGGCCACCCGAGAGGAGCACCCACGAGCCACAGAGAAGTAATTGAGGTGGGTGCCGGGCGCGTGGGCTGGGTAATGGCAGCAGCCAGCTGGGAGGAGCCGCCGGCAGGTACGGGACAAGGGAGCGGGGTGAGATTAGAGCCAGCCGGAGAGCCACCGTCGTATTTCACTTTTCTGCTGATCCCCAGAAACCTGCCTATAGATCATCCTGCAGTTGCAACACGTGGATCTAATTCTCTAATGCCAGGCCTCGCTGTGCCGTTATCCACATAAATCCTGAAACCCTGACACCAGCCTTTTCATCATTTAACTGGCGTTTGTAGGGAAGAGGGAGAGGAGGGAGCAAAGGCTTGGAGGGAGAGATGGGTATTGGCAGCAGGCACGGCTCCTCTTTCCTTGTGGCCTTTATCCTCCTTAATAATCCTCTCTCTATTTCATATATCAGCTGATAACATGTGGGTCCTATTTCCCCCCACCCTCCCCACATCTGAACTAGATGGCAGATAAAGCTGTCCCACGATCTGAGGCATGTTTGCAACTGCTCTTGATTAAAAAAAAAAAAAAAAAGAAAAACCCCTCTCGATGTAATGAATGCAAGGTTCGGGAGGGCTCCCTACACCATCGCCAGTTCCCTGGGTGACTTTGGTTTCGGGCTTTGTGGTGCATGTTCTTGGAGCCAGTTCTCCCCTGCCTTTGAGGTTACGGGCCAGTTTCTCACCTGGAGTTCACTGGCACAGGGAAAACCCTGCCTTTTAAATACTCTCCCAGCTCATTTTATCTACTTAAATAATTATCAAATGCATTAAATAATTTCAGTGACATTAGGAATAAATCCATGTATTTTGGGGTAGGAGATTTTGAGAAGGGGAGAGAGTTTCATCCAAAATATTTTTCTGTGTGAAACTCAGGAGGTTTTTGCTTGAAGCCAGAAAATCTGCAATTTTAAAATGAGAAGGGAGGGATTCATGAAACAAAAACTCTCCCTCTTCTTTTTGAGGTGGGAATTAATAGAAGATATTTGGGATGTGGGGGTGGGATGCAGCAGAAAGAAAAATCACCTGATCAAATGAAGTAACAGAGAAAGTATCAACCAAACTGGGGATATTTTCTCCATCAGAAATTTCTGCCTAATATTTATAATATGAAAATGTTAAAAGTCTGAAATAGTCCCTTAAGAAGATTTCTATTTCTTCAGACCTTCCATCCTACCTGTTGTCAGTGTTGCTGGCAGGAAATATTGTCCTCCAGGTTCACAACAAAGGAAAGCGTTACAATCACATAATTTGAAATCAGTTGGAAATCTGGGGAGGGGAGGCAAAAAGCAAGAGAGCAAGAGGACTCACATCTCCTGAGATCTGGACAAACATTTCACCACCAAGAGCTTCCAGCACTTCTAGGTGGCTCTCAGTTGCTGCAAGTCCTTGAAGTTTCCCCTTCCTAAAAAGGCAGAAAAAGACAATAAATCCGGTGCAGAGCTCAGGGTCAGTTTTGCCCTGAAATCACCTCCCAGCACCATCAATAGCATTTTGCTTCATGCATTCATTTATCTACCAATTCACTTGAGTGGATGATGGTCTAAATTTCCAGCCTTCCTTGTGCATTGCCACCCACCAACTGTAAATCGGGGCCTCCATAGGTTTTCTGTGGTTCAAGCTGCTCTGCTGCCCCCTCCAAGCTGTGGGCTCAAATCGAGGGGGAAGGTGCTGCCACCCAGCCCCGTGCCAGGGCTCCGGGCTCATCCCCTCACCTTGGGTAGGTGGCTGTGCTCTACTAGGAAGAGCAGCCCTTGCTAAAGCCTAAAGTTTGGAACAATCTGCACCAGGCTGGCAATTCTCAGTTAACTCAACTAGAGAGCAGGCCCCACTCTTTGAAGCTGCCACACACCAGAGCTTATTGGAAGTGAAGAACGAAGAAAAATTCAGAAAAATATGAAAGAAGGAAAGATACCGAGAGGGAAAGAGATGGTGAATGGCAAGAAGTGAGTTAATGAGACCCAGAAACACAAGTTGGAAAAATGTTGATTTTATTTAGCATTAATTGCAGGAAAGAGCCTATAAAGTGCGGTAAAAAATTATTAAGTACCACTATGCAATGCCAGCTTTGTGCCAGCCATCCCTTCGAAACAGGTGTATTATTCCTAGTTCCCTAGGTATAAATAAATAATTGCTTTTCCACATCTTTTTTATGATGGCATTTCATTATTTTTTACTGCCATATTGTTATGGCTCCAATTCCTCCAGAACAGATTTGGAGATCGGCCGGTGAGGGAACGCGCGTGCACGTGTGCGGACGGATGGGCACGTGGGCTGGCACGTGTGAGCTGGGGGAGCTGGGTAAGCAGTGAGGTGTCTCAGATCGCGGCATCCCGGGGGAGCAAAGCCGGATCCCCCTGCCCACCGGTCAAAACAAGGTCTCACCTGTGGTCCAAGCTCTGACAACGACGTCAGGATAAATACAGAAAGGAAAATTACGCCCACAGTTACAAGACGATGTGCAGCAATCACGTCAGGAAACCGCTCATCAAATCCAGAGGGAAAAACTGTAACAGATGGGTCATCCAAGTTACCTTTCCAGAGAGAGGGACTGCCCTGGGACAGGACGTTTTGGAGGATATCACCCTGGTTCAAGCACCGGTACCACATGAGCCCATTTATGTCAGGAACACAGAGCTGGGGTTTCCCTGAGATATCCCATCCACCTCTGACTCTTGTTTGCATGTACTGAGATTAGAAAAGGAAAATAAAATCTATATTCCGTTCCACTTTTCATTTTCTGCTCCTGATCTGCCCATATGCTCTTCCCAGCATCGTTACATGCAGACCCTGATATTGCCTGAGTTAAGAACAACGGGCGAAGATCACATTTTTCCTGAGCAATGTTTATATCAGCATTTTGGGGCTTGTTTTATCGAGTGTCTCACTTTTCAGAGGAGACTCAGCAGGGAGATAAGCACTGGATGCATTTTCCTAGCACTGTCTCTCGCTTCAGATGAGGCCACCAAAGACGTCTGGGGAAGCAATGATTCCCTGGTAATGCCTCAGTCCAAGCTCTGACCTGGAACCGTGGGCTCGGCAAATACGCATAAATCTCCAGCTCACGTCCAAATCACTGCAAGGTTCAGTGAAAATAGCAAAACTGCCAGTGAATCTAACCTAAGCTTTAATCCAGCTCCGGCATGATTTATGGCCTCGGGTGGAAGCCGTGAAACACGATGGCTTCAGCCCCGACCCAAGGATGGTCAGCTACCCCAGCCCAGAGGTCCTGCAGAACTGGGATGGCCAGAAGCACCAATTAAATTAAACAGCACAGACGCATCCCAACAAAGTCTTCAAACCCTGTTTATCGTGTGTTGAGTAAACGTAGCTGACACATAAATCAAACGAGTGTCCTGCTCAAGTCAGAGACAGGAAATTAAACAAATGAAAGAATAACAAGGGCGAGCAAGCAATACAGTTATTTTTTTCTGATTGAAAAGTAGCAATTCACTAGCTTCACCATCTTTGAATAGCGTTTCCCTAAATACAGAATTCTGCAATAGTGTTATAGTATTTCAGGACATTTAGAATGGCTTTTTAGTATTTATTCCCCTATCAAAATTATATCATTGACAGTAGGAGACACTACTCTTTTTTCCTACCTAAAAAAAAAAAAAAAAAAAAAGGAGGAAAGAGAGAGAACTTCAGTCTCGGTGAGCCAATTTTCTAGGGAAGAAGGGGTGTCACATCAGTGGGGAAAGACGCTTCTTCTGTTGTTCTCTGCTGGCAGTTCCCCCCAGCCAAAAGCAGGAATTATTATCTCACAGAGTATTAACGAGGCCATTTCCTCTGACCCTCGTTATCTATCTACATACTAGCTTGGAAAAACTAACCACAATAACAATTAACATAAGATCCCAGGTGGCATGACCAAGAAGACTTTTGACCGGTCTAACTATCAACACTGCATATCACTAGTAATCT